TGTTTAAAATGCCGAAGATGTAAGAATTCAATTTAATCATAAGATAAAAAGATCTAAAATATAAAAAAAACTTCAAAAAAGTTAGTAGTAATTAGATGCACTATGTAAACACAAATGACAGCTAGTCATCGAGATAACGAGACTGTCAATGCAAACCTGTACAAAATCGTGGTTTTGCCGGCGCCGTCCAGGCCTAGGATCAGGATCCGCATCTCGCGGCTACCGAGCAGGTTACGAAAGTAGCTGAGCAACCCACCTGTAAGGAGATATCGTCAGAATCTCGCGTAAGAAACCGTAAGGAAAACTACCTCGATAATCGGATAATTGCGTGCGATATTCAGTTCCTTTTTTTTTTTTTTAAAGAATAAATACATGGCACAGAGCGAGAAATCGCTCGTTGTTGACTCACCCATGCTGACGTATCGTTAACTCCGAGTCATACAGGACTGTCCGATGTTTATTGTCAAACTTGATAACCATAAACGTGTCCAAATAACCGGGCCGCGCCAACCCTCCCTCGCTCTGCTGCATCCACGGTATACGACCTACTTCAGTCTTCAGTCTGCTCGCTGTCAGGGCCGCCAACGTGCCACGCGGAAAATTGAGATTTCGAAAGTCACTAATCAGCCGGCTCATCGCGCAGGGATTCGCGAACGGTCATTGCACTTTTTTTAACCAATTTAGTGCGTTCCCAAATTCATCGAGAAAAAATTATTTTAACCTTCCGTCGGTGCATCTTTTAATTCTCCCTCGCAAACGCGAGCACACCACTTGGCATACGACGTATGGATCCATTTACGAACGTAAACCGGTGACCGTGCACGTTAAACAGTAAACTGGTGACGTTGAAAGTTCCAATCAGGGAAACAATGCGCGTTAGTTAGAAATTCGTTGATCTACAGCTGTATTGATTGAGTTGCTTTAATTTAATAGGAACGCCATAATTATTGACGATTATTGACGGCACAATAATGCACACGTTCCTAACACGAGGAAATGCTATCTTGGCATATACGTTAAGCGTTTCGGCCTGCCTCACATTTTGCTGTTTTCTCTCGACAGTTTTTATTGATTACAGAGCGAACGCTACGTTAAATACAGTTAAAGTTGTCGTGTAAGTATCAAATGTGAATGTATAAATATGATGTGTCATATAATTTATATTACACAGTTTATTTCATTTCAATTAAATCACACTTATGTTTTTGTCAAAAGGATCCATATTGTATTTGTGAGTCGTACTGTGCAAGAAAAATTTTTCTACATTGTCTTAAATATACAAATATTGAGAAACTAATATATCAAGATTAATGCATGTTACATATAATTTTCCATATTTGCAATTGCTGTAGTAAACTCACTTTATTTTACAGAAAAAATGTACCAGATTACAGTGCATCGAGAGAAAAGAACGACTTGGGTTACTTGACTTTTGATTTACAAACTGATATCCTTTTCACACATAGTATTGTATAAGTGTCTATTATTAATTATTTTATTTATATGAATTCAATCTAAATTATATAATATCTAATCATCTTATGTAATTTACATAAAAATAGCTCAGCATTGATAAAGATAATTAATTATACCTCATCTAGATTTCTAATAATGTATTCGATTTACTGAGGATCCAACTCCAAGTCAATGGTCTGTTTTGTTTAGCTACAAAAGAAGAGTTAAAATATGCAAGAAACGCAGCTAAAAAGAATAGACTTTGACTTGAAGTCAGGTCAAGTCAGTAAATCGAATACACTATAACTTTATAAAAAAAGTATCATGAGTGAAGATAACTTATTTTGTTCTGTAAAATAACATATTTTATACTGAGAGAATCATGTTCAACTTTCTATTGTTTTTTTAATTCATATATTTTAAATTATATTTACCTTATAAAACTTTTACATCTTACTCCATTGTTTAATTGGAATGTTAAGCAATTATTCTTATACCTCACAGCAGAATATCAGACAGAAAATAATGAATTTAATCAAGTATGTCTTTATTTAATCAACTTTAATTTACAATATGTATTCTCCTTTTTTTTTAATATAAATTTATTTTAAATAAAATTTATAATGTGTTGACAGGTAGTATTATGGGATAAAATAGTTCTTCGTGGAGATAATGCTGTTCTAGATTTCAAAAATATGAATACGAAATATTACTTTTGGGATGATGGCAAAGGTCTCAGGTAGAGTTGATTATTGTGACAGCAAAGTTTTTCTGCAATTTTTGTTAATACACAGCAAATACGTTTTTTACTTTTCATTTTTACAGGGGAAATAAGAATGTAACGTTAACATTGTCCTGGAACATTATTCCAAACGCTGGATTGTTACCTAGTGTTAATGCTCTTGGTTCTCATACTTTTGCATTCCCGCCTGAATACACAACATTACGCGTATAACGTATATTTAAATGTATATGTGTTACGATTGTATAATATGATTTTGTAAGACTCTTATTTAAATTGCATAAAATTCATGTACAATAAACAACGTTTATTTCTTCACGGTCATTTCTTTATTATATTCAACATTATATTTGCTCTCAATTTGTTATTACTAGTTTAAAATGGATTATCAAATTTAAATATTATGCATATTAAATGTATGTATACTTAGGAATTGGAAATCAATTTATATTTTACAAAATATTGAAATTGTCCCTCTTTTTGAATTCTTATACTTCTTTTCGCATATTGTGCGTGATTTAACTTGATAATTGATATTTCATTTTCAATTATATATTTTATTTTGCACTGTAAATAAATGCTAAGCTTTATTTTTACTATTCTCTGGAATTTCTTGCATTGTGGTATCTTTCTTTTCTTCGTCCGTACTTGTGGATTCATCATCATCGTCTTCTATGTCATCCTCATCATCATCTTCATCATCATCATCATCATCATAATCATCATCATCTTCATTGTCATTGGAGTAGCTAACAGTTCCATAACAAGACTCCTGATTTCCTGCTGAACAAAGAAAATCTTTTCTCAAAGATATAAAAAAATGAAAACAAATATATTCCTAATTTTTTTAGGATCTTGAATGCTCATTTCTATCAATGCAGATTAACTTTAATCTCAATTTGAATTACTTTATCTTTCTCTAATAACTAAAACTAAAAAAGAATAAAAAGTAAGTCAAAGTTCATCATTGACAGAAGATTATCTTTACATTGATAGAAATGAATATAAATTTTCATTAAAAAAGAATCTTGGTTTACCATAATTATATCCGTTTTCATCATCAGATTCAGATGGACCACCTTGGTTTTGTCTACCAAACTTGTGATTTCTCGCTATAAAAGAAATTCGAATAAATCAAACTTAATATAACAAATTTTATAATAATATACACGTAAATGCTTACTAGACATGCTTAGATCCTTAGTCTGTGATGTTTCATAGCTGCACTTTGGACAAGGAATAGGTTTGTTCTTTTCATATTTAAAGCCTTTTCTACGAACGTGATCTTCACAATAACATGTCTTACATCTAAGACAAGAGTATTGTCCCAAACGATTACATGATTGGCCTGGAAATTTTAATTTACGTTAAAATACAATTGGAAATTAAATAAGAATGCAATGTCCCTTATATATTATATATCGCCTATTACATTTGAAACTTTCTGCTTCCAATACTTGGCACGATGCTTGATGCTCAAATTGATCATCCTCACATAAAAAGCAACCACAGAATGAACACTTGAATATTCTTCCTCCATGATCCCAAACGCCTCTCTCGCATTCCTGGCAAATGGCGTCCATCAATGGACAGATACAAGCGTGACTAGTGAGACAACGTCTTCCATGACATACCCAAGCTTCGCAGTGATCGCATATAGCTCCCTAAAACATTTCATTTGTGAGAGATAGCATATCCCAATAAATATTTAAAAAGACAGCTCTATAATATAATAAATAGATTTACTTGCCACCATTCCTAATCCTGTGGTGAAGATTCCAGGATGACGCACCACGCAATCTCCTGTCTTCAGCATGCATTTAATCTTGCCACAATGCGCACATATGGGTAATCGCTGTAGACTCTGACAGAAATAACAAAAGGCACGACTCTTTTGCTTCTTGTTGCATTTGTCACATTCCTGTGAGATAAAATAATATTAGAATCATGAAGTAGATTATTTTAAGGTTTGTTTTTTATTACTGAACTGCATACAGAAACTTCACTCACATATACCCAGTATTATTTTATCCTTGTTTAACATTTGGACTATATACTTCAAAATCTCTCTGAGGAAAATTTTATTTGATACAATATAAAGTTTTTTTTACTAGGGTTAAAGTATATACACTTTCAGAGCTTAAAATGAGATAGATACATGTATGATATTTGACAAAAGCAAGAGAGTTCTAGTACACAATCTAGTACAAGAACAAAAAACAGATCTCTAGTACATGCGTTACTTGTACTATATATTTTTCAAATAAAATTTTCCTTGGAGAGGACGTTTTGGAATGTAGCCTTTGTGAACAACAAGGATAAAATGATAATACCTTGAATTTGTGATCACACCCTTGTACTAGACTTGCAACTTTCATTTTCACTCTCTCCCAATTTCAAGCATATACCTAATTAATCTAATTTCACTTTAAATACAACTGTAATAATTTAACTATAAATAACAATTACAATCGAGAAATACTCACCATTACGGAGTTGCAAGGAAATTTGGCCAGGTCAATCTGCTCCTTGGCAGCTCTGATCTCCTTCTGCCGAAGTTTCTGCTTTTCTGCCTTCTTCCTCTGCCCAGTTTTCTTCTTCGGCATTTTGTTCTGTAAACGGGATGCGTACCGCAAGAAACCCGACCTTTCCGGCTTTTGAAATTACAAGAAGTGCATATAAATCACTCAAAGTCGTGAGAGATTGCAACAGGTTATGGTTTTGAACGCACACCACGGAGAGCGGAATATGGACATCATTACGAGAGTCAAGTGATCGATATTACGATATTTGAACTGTGACAGCTGTTTGATCAGAAGGGTTATTTTTTAGAGTTGCTGTCTGATATTGTACTACAAGGTATAAAATTAATTATTTAGCATTTCATTTAATGGAATGAGATACTATGAATATAAATAAGAAAATTCTCTTTCAGAATTAATTTGTTAAATGGAAGCATTGAATGATGGTAAAGAAAACCGCCAAATATCATTGAATAACAATGGAAGGTCTAAGTCGCCGTGTGCCATTGAGTCCCTGTTACTGCTAGATAATACGTTATTATGTAATATAGAACCTGACAATGGATTATACGTTTCAGTAGATACTCGCCAGTCCTTCCAAGAACACAATGAGACGGCACAAGTTTCCAAAGAGTCGTTGCAAAGCGTTGCAACCAATGCAACAGCTAGTTCCAAAATATCATTCAGCGTGTCTCCTAACGTGAATGAATGGCAGGACAAAACCTTAATGAATCAAATATTTGCTCAATTTGATTCACAGAATGAGGAAGAAATTAATTCAGAGAGTTGCAATAATATAAGCAATTATGATATATTTGATACATTTTACAAAGAGGATACAAGATTTGACTTAAACAATGTAAATCAAAATGTGGAAAAAGCAGATCAATTGCATAAAAATGTATTACATCAAGATAAATTAATGGATGCATCGTATCCGTATTTGCATATCACAAACTTTGGTGACGATACTTTGAAAGATAATGATTTTAAAAAGGATGATAAAAATAGTTCACCAATTTTAAAAACTAAATCTAGATCCTTAAATGAATGTAAAAGCTTAAAAAAAAAACTACGTTTTTCTAATGATGTATTAATACCAAAAGAGGCAAAAAATGAAACAAATTCCACAAATTGTTCTTCATTTTACGGTTTACCAGATACTGTGAAAAAATTGATACAAGAAGTCAAGGGAATTTGTGAATTATATCGTAAGTTCACAATAATATATAAGTCGAATTTATAAGAAATAAGAATGATTTTTAATGTTAATTATTTTATACAGAATGGCAAGACGAATTATTAAAATTGGCTGTTAAAACCAAAAAGAATTTAATTTATGCTCTGCCAACAAGTGGCGGCAAAACTTTGGTTGCAGAGATATTAATGTTCAGAGAGATTATATGTAACAAAAAAAATGCCATTTTTATACTTCCATATGTGGCCTTGGTACAGGAAAAGGCATGCTACTTTGAA